GAGGGGGGAGGGGGGCGCGAATGCTGATTGTCGGTGAGGCGCTCTCCAGTCCCACTCCCAGTCCCCGCAGGGCTCCCACAGACACATCCATTTAACAGAGAGGGAGGCTGATAATGCAGAGAGGCAAGGGCTTTGGCCTGAGGTCACCCATGGCCAAGGGCAGAGCTGGAACTAGGACTCATGCCTGTGTCCTGGAGGCAGGAGGCAGGTCTGGGGAGGCCCAGGGCCAAGGGTGTGGGTGTCAGGGGTGTGAAAGACGGTGATGAGGGATGCGAAGTCAGATTAGGGGCCAAGTATAAAGGTCAAGAGTTTAGAGGTTAGTGGTCATGTGGTTGTTAGCAGGGCTGTGGATGTCAGAGGTAGAGATTAACAGGGTCAGGTGCCTGAACGCCAGGAGCATGGGGGTCAGGTGTGGCCTGGCACCGGGCAGAGTGGGCAGGTGGCTCACTTGATGAACTGGTTATAGAGGCCAGCCGTGCTGTAGATCATGCGGGCAGCCTGGGACTCCTCCTGCTGGCAGCGGGTCAGTGACAGCGCGTCATCCATGTGGCCTTCCTGGTGCAGCATGGCCTGGCAGTGGAAGGATAGAGAAATCAGGAGGGGGCCATGCTCCCCAGATTCTAGCCCCAAAGCTGCCTTCTTCCTCCACCAAATCTCTCTGCCAGTCCCTCCCTTCTATCCCTCTTCATCTGACTCTGTCTTTCATTCTGTCTTTTTCCCTTTATCTCTGTCTCTCTCTGTCTCTGTCTCTTTGTTCCTGTCTGTCCATCTTTATGTCTCCCTCTCCTTATGTCTCTCATCTATATTGCACGCTTTTGTTTCATTTCCCCTGTCTCCCCTTCTCTGTCTCTCTCTTATCTTGTCTCTCTCCAGGTCACATCCTCTCCACTTGTATCTACTAATGGCTTAACATTCCCCCATCAGAGCGCTGTAGCAGCGCCTCAAACTTAACATGTCCCAGACAGAATGCCTGACACCCTCTGTGAGTAAAGCCATCACAGCGCCAGCTTTCCCCTGAGCTGACCTCCTCTAGTCCTGCGGCTGTAAATATCACCCTCTCTGCTCATGTTTCCAACTACAAGCCTTGCTCTTTTTGCAAACAGTTGCCTCCTTAGTCTTCTCACTCATTCACTCAGCAAGTCTTTACTGAGTGACTCTGTTATAGACGTTGGGGGTAAAACTTTAGATCCCTGTCCTCCTGAGCTGACACTTGACTGTCCCCAACTTGGTTAATGGCACGTCCATCCTTTTGGTCGCTCAGGGTAAAAATCATGGCATCACCCCAACCTCTGTCTCTCTCATCCTGATATCAAATCTATCAGAAAATCCTGTTGGCTCAGCTCTCAAAATTCAAGCAGAATCCACCATGTTTCCCCACTCCACAGTCCTCACCCTGGGTCTCTCCCGTCATCTACCACCTGTACCCTCCGAGCAATCTCCTCCCTGGTCTTTCTACTCCAGCTCTATACCACCCCCTCTCCCTGGCCCTCACACACAATCGGTTCCCGAAAGCAGCTAAGGAACCCTGTGAATCGGGTCACCTCCCTGTCCTGCTCAGAACACTCTGTGGCTCCATCTCATGCGCGATAAAGGTAAAAGCCAGGACCCTCCCCATGACCCACAAGGCCCACCGATCTGCTCCTACCCCCTCTGTCTCATCTCCGCCCCTCTACTCGCCCTCGCTCACTCTGCTCCAAGCAAATTGGATATTCTTTTTGTTATTGCAATACACCAACCTCAGGGCCTTTGCATATGACCTTCCCTTTGTCAAAAGTAGTTTTCCCACTCCTCAGGTAGAAAACTATGTACTTTGTTGAAGGCAGTTGACTCACCATTTCTGAGCACAGGGAGGGCGGGGAACAAGTCTGCAGAGCTGGCCTGTTTTCCCACACGCACATCCAAAACAACTGGGATACTCATTAATTTGTTGCGTGTCATCTTCAGTATGCTTGTCACTCTCTGTCTTTTCCATCTGTCTCTGTCTTTCTCTGTTTTTCTGTCTCCATAACTTTTTGTCTCTGCCTTTCCCTGTCTCTCTATTTCTCTCTCTCCCTTCTCCATATATATTAACATATGGATTTCTTTTCCTTTTTTGCTTTCTCAATCTTGGTTTCTCCCAGCCTGCATCTTTCTCTCAGTCCCATCTTCAAAGCCCTGAAGGCTCAAGCACCAACACCCCCCAGTCTCCTCCCTTCCCCTCCAGGCACCTACCTTTTTCTTCAGCACCCCGAGCCGCAGAGCTTTGGGGTCCGGGGCTGCATAGGTGAGCCACAGGCCTGAGGCCACATGCTGCACAAAGCACAGTGACTCTCCATACTTGATCTCAGGGGGGCCCATGCCTTCCACGTCCCGCTTGGGGGCCACATCCAGCTTCTCCTGCAGGAGCAGGGGCCAGAGGTCAGCTCCTCTGCTGTGCAGCTAATAGGGGAGCCCCCCTGAGAGACTGCAGAGTGGGGGCTGATGTGGGATTTGGGGCTCCAGGTGAGGGAGAATGCCCTCACCCCACCGACCTTGGAGATGCGGAAGCAGAAGGAGGTGGCCTTGGTGTGCGCCTTGCTGGCATCAACCACCACCAGACCCTGGTCCTCGGTGAGTGCCAGGTACCGCCCCGTGGTGACATGGCGGATGCGAAGCGGCTGACCCCAGCGAAGGTGGCTCCCACTCCAGCTGTGGAGGGTGAGATCAAGGGGGTCAGAGGACCCCCCAAGTGTCCCATGGACACCACGGTCTTAGTTCAAACCTCCTTGAACCCCAAGTCCTTCTCCAGGGTGCCCTAAGTCTTCCTCAGATCTTTCTTAGGGCTCCCCAGTCCTCCTTCAGGGGCCCTAATCCCCTCTCAGGCCCTCACAGCTTCCCCCAGGCTCCCCAGATGTCCCTGGTGTCCCCAGTTTTCCCAGACCCATCACTTTATCTCCCTCCACTCCCCACATTTTCACTCAGGACCCCCTACCATCCCCCAAGACCTCCTTTTACTCCAGGATTCTAGGAACCTGAGAGCCTCATCACTCTTTTGGGCTCCCCAGATTTTCCCTCAAAACCCTCCAGTCTCTTCCTCAGTTCTTCCTTCAAGACCCTCTCTCCCTTCCCAACAACCCCCCTGGCCCCTATCCCCTCCCCCAGCTCAACCCC